CGTAAACCGTCGGCGCGCGCATTGTGTAATGCACGGCGCGGACGAAACTCCGCGCGGCTTATTTGTGGTCTGGCGCCCACGATCGCGTCTCTCCCCACCCCCCCCCTCCCACAACACACACCTCCGTAGATCCGGGAGATCTTGGTCCGGTTTTTGAGCTTTTCCGAAAGGAAACCGATGCGTGAATTGGGGCGGTGATTTTTCGATTTTCCCAGCAGTTTTCTCATCGAGCAAACACACACACGCGCGCCGGCGTACACCGTGTCTCGCGGCCCGTGATATGCCGGGCCGCACGCCGCGGTTTCGCCTACACCGCGCAACGCATTATGTTATTGTTTTTACAACGGCCGTAACGTACGTAATTCGTTTTCGCGTGCGTTCACCTCGCCGCTTGTCCGGTCGTCTCCGCGCCGCGACCGCCGCCGCCGCCGCCGCCGCCGAAAACTGCACACCGGATTTCCTGTCCATCAAGCCGAAAAAAAAAACACACACACAAAACAACACAGTATATTTCACCGGAGACGACCGGCAACACGTATACGCGCCGCCGTCGAAACCGATACACAAGCGCGTTTTGTTTTTTCGTATACCTGTACACAAAAGTGGAGAGGAAAACAAAAAAAAAAAAAATGATAACTATTTACACACTGTATCCGTCCGTTTTCGGCCGTGCGCCGCTCTCGTTTAACACTCGCCGCGTATAGACCTCTGGTGGTCGTGGGACTGACGAGAGACAAAAAAAAAAAAAAAAAAGTAAAAATCACAAAACGATTTCGGGCTCTGGGAAAATAAAAAAATAGGATATACCGCGTCGATGACGACGGCGACGTTTGTCGGACCATGACTCATGTTTTTATGCATGAGAGGAAATTACGCGCACTCGTGAGAGTCGGGTGGAAAGCGTACGGACAAAAAAATAAAATGGGATTTTTTTTTTTTTTCTATAATTGTCGGTGATGTGGATTTTTTTTTTTTAATGTTTCCCGTCCAGCATAAATCCGTTCCGTACATAAGCGCGCGCGTGTTATAATTGCCGGAACAATCAACAACGGCATCATTATAATCCGAATACATTAAATCGGCGTAATATTTTTGTTTTGTTTTAATGCAAAGCAAATTTGCGGGTGCGTTATACAGGCCGATCAAATTAACGTAAAATATCCGTCATTAAGTATACATTAAGTGGACCGGGGGGGGGGGCGATCCTAGGGTTTATTATGTTTAGAGAAGTTCGGAGTGAATTTTGCCGAGTGCCGGCATATCAATATCGAATCTCATAAAATAGCTTATTGCGAATACTAAAACGATGTTAAAATAACCCAATATGTTTAGTCGACAGTCTTAAGTTTAATGGTCTACACTCTTTTTATTTTGTAAACAATTATTGTTTTTTTTTTTTTTTTTCAAATTTACGACATTAAAAAAGATCTGGCTATTTTAAACAGTAAGAGCGACATTTATGTGAAATCCGTGTTAGAGGGACTGCGTGTCAATCATATTATATACAGTCTGTCCCACGAAGATATACCCATTGAATATCTTCGGAGATAATAGAGATAATTAAATTCTGTTTTTATTTTTTTTTTTTTTTTTTTTTTTGTTTATTAAATTAAGTGATTTCTTTCATTAAAAAAAAAAAAATAATAAATAATTAAAATTAAATATTTGTAGTCCCCGTGCCTGTGGATAACATATGAAAATAAAAACAGAATTTAATTATCTCTATTATCTCCGAAGATATTCAAAGGGTATATCTTCGTGGGACAGCCTGTATACAATTTTTTACTCGCCTTTTTTACCTGCACAAAATAATTATACTTCACTTGCACTCGATTATATTATCTGTAATCATGTCACGATATCAATTTTATTATCTACGAGTTATATTAAATACGTCAATGATCCATTGGTGTGTTATCGAATTAACTCTCGGTTTCGCTTTATGTTGACACGGTTAAATAAAGTGAAAATGCGAATAGCTTATTATTGTCACGATTTGAATATTTAAAACGTTTCAAATCGAAACGCGTAAAAAGATCAGCGCTATGCATTCAAATTGAAATTCGATTCGAGGTTGGCGCGGCCGTAATTTAAAGACGGCCAAATCAAATTTCCGCATCTCACGCCGTCATTATAAGAGTTTCTGGGATTCTCCCGAATTTCTACGCGAGCGCATTTATTTTAACGTAAACGTCGTCGGTCGACGACGGATAATGTTTGAAATAATACGCGGTACGGGTGGCAAATTGAAAATCAACGTTACGTTACGGTTCGAAAACCGATCGTCGTCTAACTTGAATTATCGGAAAATGTCGGAAAAAAAAAAATAATAAAATAAAAATACCAACACGCGGTCCGGGACGGTACGACATTCCGGGCGACGTCTCGCGGATGAGCGGTCGCCCTGTATACGCGCGCGCAAAATAATGCAACGCGGTGCACTCCGTCATTGACAAAACTCCGCAGCAAAACGAATCGACGTTAACGTATTGCAGGCGAAACAAAATAATAATGCTGCGTGTATTGCGATTATCATATCGTATACGCGCACGGGAACGTAAATATTTATTACGGTTTTTTTTTTTTTTTTTTTTTTTTTTTTTTTTTTTGTTTTTTTTTTTTTTGTTTATCGACGCGGATTGCGTTTATTTATACGTAATATTATTATTATTACACGCGCAGAACGCATCGTCGCACGGTCGTACACTGCAGGTATTATAATGCGGCGTTACGCGGCGCGCGGGCAAGGTTAAAAATGATAACCGATTAAAAATCGCGTATTTACTCTCGAGCACCCGCGGTCGTGTGTACCCGGCGGTGGTAAAACGTTTTGTTGAAAAATCACTCTCGAATATAATAAGTAAAAAAAAAAAACAAAATTTAACAATAATACCATTTCGCGATATATAATAATAGTGCGTTGTTGTTATTGTCATTGCCCGTTTCGCACCGCTTAATAACCGCGGCTAAACCGACGGACAGTGAACGGGGAGAGGGGGGGGGGTGAATCGCATTTGTTCCGGTACGTAATATTTCAATAACAAACAAATGTATTTCAACGATCGATCGTTTCGTTGTGCAATTGTTTAGTTTATATTTTACGGGCCTCGCGGAATGTCTAGACACCGGTGCACTGTCCAAAAGAGCCCCGGACGGGCACGTTGACCCGCGACCTCGCACGCCGTTGTAAAAAGCTGGCGCCCGACGGTCGGCCACGGCCCGGCCGCGCGGGCCGCGACGAGAGGAACCCACACAGTGAAAATCGAAAACCGACGTCCGCGACTAGACCGGACGGAGGGTCTACACGCGAACGTGCCCGGAAAAAAACGGGCCGATTTCTCTCGGGGAAAGTCTCTTTTCTTTTTCTATTTTTTTTTTTTCGTTTTATTTTTTTTTCGTTTTCACAGTCGCCAACAACGCCCGTTATCATATTACGTTATCGGCGACGGCCGACGGTATTCTGTCTTGAACGAGCGTGCAAGTGTCCACACAGTGTGTCCACTACTTCGTTAAAGGCGACCAATTGTCAATGTTTCCACTCGCGTTTGTTTAACGTTCGTATTTGTTTGTTTTATCGGCGGCCAGTCGCTGTTCGGCGCGCCACGGACGCTTTTTTTATTATTATTATTTTGTTGTTTTTTTTTTTTTTTTCCGTTTCTCGTCCGCACGCGTAGGTATTATTATTGTTATTCATTAAAAATGCATTATAGAACGCGTTCACTTTTTCGTCGTCACACGCGAACGATTTCGCCGCTCCCCCCTCCCCGTGTCCGGCAGTGTCGACGCGCGTGTACGACGACAACGTCCGTGAAAAAAAAAACGATTATATTTTACATCGCATTCGCGGCCGGTTCGAAAAATCGGAAAGTCCGACGACCCGCCGACTTTTTTTCCTGTTTTTTATTTTTATTTTTTTTTTTTTTTTTTTTTTTTTTTTTTTGTCATCACCGGCGAACAATGTAATATAAACTGTATATACGAACAACTATATGCATATGCGTGTATATATACACGTGTGTATAATGTAACGATGGTCCGCGGAAACGAAAAACACCGCAATGATGTCGGTATACGGTGCGCGCTGTGAAAAAAAAAAATTTAAAAAAAAAATTAAAAAAAAAAAAAAAAAACACGTAACGAGATGAACGCGATCGTGCGGTTTATTTTTTTTCCGGGAATACGATGTTATATTAAAAAAAAACCGAACAAAAATTTAACGTTTTCCGACGCCGAATACGAATTTTTAGATTTCGCGCGCTCGTCGCACGGTCGCTGCCCGACGCTCCCGAACGACGCCGTCATAGTCGAGCGGCGACGCGGCCGGGCGCGCGCACGTAAATCGCGATCGCGCCGCCGGTAACCTTGTGAAAACCGCTGGGCAGCCGACCATAACCCGCTGCGGATTTTCCCCACGGCGAGCGAACGCGATTGGAAACGGCGGCGCGGCGGCCGCATGCGAACGCTATGCGTACGCCTTACACGCCTCCCGGACGTCCCGGGCGGCCCACGCGCCCGCGACGCGAAACGTGTCCGGATTTTTTTTCACACCGTGCGCGCGTAGTCATTTTCAGAACGGCACCGACGGCGTTGCGTTTAAATCGTTTATCCGTCGCGCGCGTCGGCTATTCGCGTGCCGGCCAACCGGCGGGATCACGGCGACGCGACGCGGTCCGCGGTCGGACCGCGAGGCGAGACCAGCATTCGGGCGGCCGCGTGTAAAGGCGTCTCCGGCCGCGCGACGCAGTGAACGGGGCGGCGGGCGGGCCAGCCTCGCGCCGTCGGGCAGTAGTGAGTGAAAAACTTAAAAAAAAATAAAAACGTGTTTAACATTTAACATTTTATCCGGCGCTGTTTCGGTTTGCTGTACAGGTTTCGCGAATGTTCCAGACTCCGGCGGGCGGCGTGCGCTCGTATCCGATCTGCGAGCAAAATGCGGCGAGATGCGTTTCTGCGAGGGAGTCGCGAAAATTCAACACAGAGAACGGCGTTTGTTTGTTTGTTTTTTTTTTTTTTTTTTTTGATTTTTCGGGGGGTTTCCTAAAAAACCGGGGAAAACTCACGAAACGCATTAGTCCCCGAATCGTTTTCCGTTAGCCACGATCAATCGTCGCGCACGGATTAGACACGTTAAATTTCCCCTCCACTCCGCCAACTTTTCGCCGACAACGGTGGCCCCCTCCCCCTAACCGTCGCGCAAAGCGTGCCATTCGGGGTTTTTCGTCGGTACCGGGTTTTCGGAGCGGCACTGAAAATTAATGTGCGTTCGAAATTGGTGTCTCCATTCGTAATAGACACCTATGTTTCGGACGATGTTCAAACGGAATTATACGAGTGCCTGGCGGGAGGGGGAGGGGGTCGAGACCCCCACCCGTAAATCGGCCGCTGTTTTCGGTAATAATACATTATACCGCGACGTCCGCGGACCCGAACGTTTTCGGCGTCGCGAAAACGACGCTTTCGCGCGGCGTTTGAAAACCGTCTGGGCGCGCGGCGAGCGCGACACTCGCGGCACCCCGGACACGCCGCCGCGACGACGAAAATCCTCGGACGCGGACGCGTTTTACGGGCGTTGCGGTGTGACGTTACGCCGCTTGGGCGGGCCGGTAGTCGCCGGGTCCGATTTTAAATCTCCACGCCGTACGCGCGTCGACATTATCGCCCGCGCGTGTCGCGCTCAAGACGTCGCGGCGACGCGCGACGACAGTTTCCAAACAATCGTTCTCGACCCACCCCACCCCGTCGGTTACCGTGCGCGCGTACAGTAAAAACTGCGCTGCTCGCCGTGCCCGTCGCGACCACCGCGCCCGCCCTAACCGCCGATCGCCGTCGATGTACCGCAAAAAAAAAAAAAACGGACATGATTCGTACGCGGGCGGCGGACCGCTGTTTGCGGGTGACAAGTCGGGAAGGCAGTGGACGGGAAATTCAACGTATGCCTGTGCACGCAACGATTTAGCGTTTCAAACGGAAAACAAAAACCCGATTCTGAGCGGGGTTCGATTGATCGTGTCGCTCACGTGTCAACAATGTATCACACGTCATATACAATGACGTGGCGTTCGTGTACACAAATTATTCAGTAACAAATGTTCGCGTCCCGAGTTTTTTTAAATAAGGATAAACTTTAGGTTTCCAACAAGTTTTATAATTCTAGGAGCCACTGTCACGTTTTGCCACTAACAACATCGAGTTCAGCCCGGAGTACCGCATTTTAGATTTTTTGTAACACCGTATCAAATTTCGATATTCTCCCTTTATTCGTTATTTAAATTTAAAAGATTGTATTAAACAACCAAACGTAATTGGATTTTTGGTGTCTACTATACGAATAATTTTATGCGAGTCTGCTTCGAAATATTTTATTCTGTATAACATTTCCTATTGTCTTATTGTAGGCACTATGTACTATGTGTACTTTTATTGTAAAATAATTGCATACATGCGTTACATATTTCCTTTAATAATATCTGTTTAATACAATTGTATCTATTTTCCCGTGTTTTTTCCACAGTTTTTCCAACCAATTGGGAAAATCAAAAAAAAATCACCTCCCTAAATTATCTCCCCGGTCAGAATACATTTTAGAAAAAGCGCCATTATTGTAAATCGGAGCAAAATTGCTGGTATAAAAGTTTTTCAGAGATAAAATAAAAAAAAAAAATAAACAACATTGTAGAACCAATAGATTCCGCGCTCCGCTCAGAATCCATAACGATTTTACCGGCCGTCCAAAAGTTAAAATAACTGTCCTGTCGAACTGTTTTAGCGGGATAGCGCGGAAAATGTTCGCATCATCGGTGATTTGAGGAATAAAAGGCGAAATTTAATTTTGAAAGCTTTTGATTTATTTATTCGATTTTTTTTTTTTTTTATATACATACAATCGAACGAGAGCAATATCCGTCAGAGACTTTTTTTTTTACGGGAAATTACACGATTCCCGAAACAAACACGTTGAATGTGTATTACCGCAATATTTTTCGAAAATTGGACATTCAAAGAATATTTTCCATGATATTTTAAAGAGTGGTCGACACACATTACCGGACGAAATTATGTTATAAAAAACGATCGAGCGCGTGATTTCGATTATTCTATAATATTTTAATATTTACAGTGAAATAACATTATTTTCGAGCTTTTATTTTACACAATAAAACATAATACACAGGAATAAACAGTACCTTCAGAAGTCTTAAATAAAATCATTATAGGTTCGTCGATAAATAACACGCGATACAATATAATAGAAATACAATACTGTAGTAATTAGGTAACAAGTACTGTACAAAACATAATATTAGAACATTTATATTAAATAGACGCATTCGCACGTGTTTATTGATTTGTTAAAAAAAAAAAAAAAAAAATAGCTAGCTTATGCCGAAATGCGTTTCATTGCCTATGAATAACACGGTTCTATAAAATAAAAAATATTGGATTTCGAATATTTTGGCGTTCTCGGATTTTCAGGGCCTGTATTCGAGGACTTTTTGCATTTTAAATGCAACGGGTCGTGGAATCAAAACAAGTTTTCTCGTGATTCATAAAAAAAAAAGAAAAAAAGAAAAAAGTAGACTCTTAGCGAATAATTTATTTCGTGAAAACATTTTAACTTGGTTAGTTATATTACATTATACGATTAAAATCTAAGTTACTTCTAAACGTATAGTTGTTCTCGAAAGAGCGACTTTAAACTTTTCGTTTGATTTGCGATTATTATAAAGTATCTTTTTTTTTTTTAGGTTAATTCGATCACTACGGCTATACGGTTAAACGCTTAAATTTCCTGGCTACAGTTTAAGTAAGTGACGTATTATTACGGCGTCGCAGGAACGCGGGACTGTAAACCACCACACGCCGAGACGATGCTGTTGCGCCGTTGTTCTTTCGGTTTTTCAAACGTCTCCTCGCCGTTATCGTTTCCGCGTTGTCCGCCGTCGTTGTCGGCCGCCTTTGTCGCCGTGATTTCCCATCGCCAAGTCCCGTCCGCGGTCGGCGCGCCGTCGACGAAATCGAAACCCCACCGTCGCCGTTTCCGGGCGAGCGCGTCGCGTCCGATCCGCTCGGCGGTGGCGATCGCGCAGCCGTCGCCGTCGTCGCCACGCGGGAAAAGTCGCCTCCTGGCGCGTAAGGTCCGCGCGGTTCCGGTCCGCACTACGCCGTCCGTCGTCATCGCGGGCGCGGCGGTCTGTACGGCGTCCCGGGAGTGCGGCGAAACTCACAGCCGATGCGCAAACGTCCGGGTCGCCGCGCATCGAACATCGTTCACCATTTTTTTACGCGTCGAGACCCGTCGGGATGCGCGCGGACAGTGACGACTGCGATGATAATAATAATATAAAATTATTAGCGTCACGCGAGTGGTGTACGGCGCGGACGTTTTCTCGGATCGCCCACACGACGTCCGTCCGCCGCGGTCCGGCGGCGTCGTGTGACGGCGAGTAGGGAGAGAGAGAGAGAGAGAGAGCTAAAAATCCGCCTTTCCCGTAGCCCCGGAATACACCAAATTAGGAAAAGTCTCGGAAACACATCAGCAAGTAGGCGGAAAATTACATAGTATTGCGTACGTGTGTGTGTGTGTGTACGTGTGCGTGCGCGTATTGTAACGTGTGTAGGTACGTGGATATATTATGTACACCGCAACAGTGTAGGTAGTTACGCGCGACCTTCATTTTTTTTACGATATAAAATTATACATACACGTACGTAAAAATTGTAAATCTTTTCGGTATATTACGTGGATATTACGCTGATGCAGACTTCTCGTTGATAAAAAAAAAACCACTCAAATTTTGTTTTGTCTGTACCTATACCTACGTACGCTGTTATTACATTAATAATAATAATATTACAGTGCAACGGTCTTGGAATATAATATTACGTTTTTTCGAGTCGTCGTAACGAGCGGTCTACCGCGTACCTAAACCGAGGATTTTTACGTTACGAATCGCGAATTAACCAACACGGTGTTTCCAAATCGCGGCTGCGTTCCGTGTGCCGTACCCAATCGTGGCCTTATTTCACACCGATTCCGTCCCGATTAAAAAAAAATGTTCTTATCAATATTAAAATGCATAAATGTTAAATACAAACAATTCAACCGTAGTAATTTACTTTCAGGAACAAAAATTTCTAATTGAATTGAATTTATATGATACAAAAAAAATTATAATTTATACATAGACGTTTTTCTAATCAATATTAAAACACAGAACAAACGCAAATAATGTAAAAGTATTATTGTATACAAATTCGATTATTTAGTGCGATAATCGAAAGCAATATTATCTAAATATTTCTAAATAATAGAAAATTGTTACCGTAGTCGTAAATTGCACGCTACATCAATATAATGTAATGTCCCGCAAAACGGGACGGAACAAATACGTCCTTAAATTAAAATTTTACATTTGGGACGGAACTCGGATCTTCATAATACAATTCTCGTTAGTTAGTTCATTGATTTTAATTTGTATTTCAGATTCTGAGTGAAGCAAAGAAGCTATTATGATATTACAATGATGATTATTTTTATTGTTTTATCTGTGAACAACTTTTCTACCAGAAATCATGTTCCGATTTACAAGTGTGGCACGTTTTCTTATAAAAAATTTGACTTGGGGAGCATTTTTGGGAGATCGTTTTTTAATTTTCCCAGGAGTTTTGTCGACAAATGGGAAACACGGGAAATTTGGTACAATATTAAACAAATATAATTAAAGAAAATATACAACGCTAATGTAATTGTTTTACCACAATGTGACATGCAATATATCCTTGACAAAGCAACACTATTACTAACCGAACTCCACTCAGAATCGTTTTTTCGTTAGCAATGAATAATCGCTGTTTACAGATATACACATTAAATTGCAACAGTGGCTCTGCACCCGTCCCAATTATTCTGGAATACCTTTTTCTAAATAACCGCGTGAAATTACCGAGTTCTGCTCTAGTTATGATTGTGAGCAGACATACCCCTAGCGTTCGTGAACCCTCAGCGGAGCCTTTAAATGTGCGAGGCTCTGCGCCGGTGCACAGCTCGGACGGCTTTCAAACTGGCCCCAATCCTAATGTGTTTACAGCACGTCCCGAGCCGTTTTTTAGCGATTATACACTGCGCGTCCATTTTCATCCCCCTTCAAAAACGTATAAATATTCACGAGTGGAAAGGCCCCACCTCGAGAGTTCTATTGGATATATCCGTCATGTATTAATCATTTATTACAGCGATAAACGCAAATTAGTCATTGTCTACTGGGTGTCCATTGTATTAATCGTGTGTAAATCTGGACACGTAAAACATTCTTCATTAAACCGTGTAGGTACTGACGCGTTCGGTTTATATATTGATAATTATTTCGTTGAGTTATTTAGGACTGTTTGTCATGATCGCATCACAAATTATACTCGGGGCCGGTTCGAGTTGGTGAGTTACCGAACAAAACTCGGTGAACCACGATAAATATTATGTTTCCGGGCCGAAGAAAAACGCTTGTACATAATATGTAAAGCGTGGAAACGCTCGTTTAAAACACTTAACATCCTATTGCACAGAGCATTGCGATTTGAATTGGTTTTTATTTTTTTCAGTAAAAAATGTCATTTTAATGGAAGCGTATTATAACATTTTTTTTTTTTTTTTTTTTGTTAACATTCATTAACCACTAGGTTCTTTCTGGACTTTAATGGTTAAACCGTTTAAAAGTGTTAAGTTTAAAACGTTTTTAACGTTTTAAGTCCAAAATTAACTGCAGAGATACGGCTGCTGTAATTTGAATTTTGTTTGTAAGTCAGTAAAATCTATCTGGCTATTGCGAATCAAGCAAAAATTACTGATACTCTATCAGTAATAGACATTGTAATATCATGTATAATGTGAATAATTTTGCACATCGTTATGGAATTTGTGTTACCTACCACACTGGTGATAGTAGATAGTTAAAATAAAACCATACAATTTTTAGCTAATATCTGCGTTTCTTACATTTTCCCTTTTTTCCTACATTTTTTTTTTCTCGGTTTTCACATTTGTTGAGAAAACTCCGCAGAAAATCGAAAAACGACTTGTTTAAAGTACCTGTCCAGTAAAGTTTCCTTTCAGAAAAGGCGCTATGCATAAAAACCGGAGCAAGATCACTGGAAGAAGAGTTATCCACAGAAAAAAAAAAAAATATGGTCTCGCAAGCTGACGTGGTTTACAGCGATTCAATCATTCATAAATACAAAATGACGGCGTATTATGTCTAAACAATATTTATTTATTGAAACGTAAATGGGCTTAACCCGATTTACAGCTAATAAGAAATATACTAAAATATTTAGGTTGATTAAAATTAGACATTAAAATCGTACGGACATACTTCGCACAAGTTTCGAGGAGAGACAACATAAGCGTAGGGTTGGGGGAGGGGACTAAGGGGACTAAACTGCGCTTGTTCCGTATATTTTTGCGAAGAAAAAAAATGGTAACGAACAAACCTTTTATTACATATCCGCCGTTATCGTGGAAGCTGTAAGAAATTTTGACGGGGCTAGAAGAGATTTCGGGGCGCTATAGTCCCCTTAGCTACCCTGCAGTCTATGAGGTACAAGAAAATTGACATTACTTAATAATACCAGAGCGCATCATTTCATATTGCAATTATTAATAATCGTTGACAAAAACACCAGTACATTTAAACGTGTAAATTTGAATGTGCCGCCGGTCTTGCTTGCGCCTTGGCCTCGCTTTCCTCTCTGATCGTTGGCCTGAGGACAATCTATCCAACCGGATTTACACTCCGCCGTTACTTAGCGAAATAATCTTCCGCGTAACCCCACGTCACACTCGTTCCTCTATTCCCTTTTCCATTTCCCTTTTGCCTTCTAATTTCCTTAGTCGTGACCCAATGGTTCGCCTCCCCCGTTCTGCCGACACCGACATTTTCTTTAATTCGTTACTACTTTATGTTTTTTATGTTCCACGTTATATTTATGACTTTTTTTTTTTTGTAATTGGGTTTGCTCCGTTTGTATAACAATACAAATAAAATAAAATGTATTGAATGTCCGCGGAGTTATTTTATTCAAAACGTCGAAAACGTTAACTCCAGAACAGACAGTACGATACACAAACGTACTGCACGACGTAAAATACAGTTTTATGATAAATAAAATTATTTCTACTGTCAATGTGTCAACTATAACGGATCGATGCAGCGGAGATCATATGTTCAGATACAGGCCCATGCCATGTATAACGTTATATTTAATATTTATGGTATTGTAATATTATTGTGTTGAAACGATGTTACAGATCTTTAGATAGGTCGTACGTCAGTCTCTGCAGTCCGCATCGCTACCTATATAAAAACGATACATCTTGCGCATTGTATGCGTACATGCACCACTGTATCGATATTATAAATACGAAACGGTTTCAAAACACTGTAACAATCTAGAGGAGCATATTTTAACATAATAATAAAAAAATCAGTGGCTCGCGTTCCGAAACACGATAAGCCGGAAAATCACCATTGGTTCTTAGAGTAGGTTAGGTACTGTTTACTGAGTGATCGATCTGTCGTAAGACCACTCATTATCTGGGAAAATATTTGGTTTTTTTTTTTTTTTTTTATACAGAATTTGTTTAACAGAATATTTAAGGAATAAACAGCTCTAAAATGTTACGTTCATGTTATTATTTTGTCGCCCTCGTTTTTGGAGGCAAAACCCACTACCCGCTTTCGATTTTCAAACGTCAACGTGTATTAAAAAATCCACAAATAGACGGCGCGTTAGTTGAAATTAATTTTGGTGTTGACATTTTTTAATTCCGTCCATCCGTTGACGAGATATCAAAAATATTAACACCGACGTTTATTTTAATCAATACCCCTCCCCCCTATCTGTGCGTAGTCTTTTATATTACAGATTGCCCCATTTGACAATCAAAATTAAGTAGTGGTTTTACTCCCGCAAACATCATAAATTTAAAATTGTAGAGCCGCTGCTCGTTTCTCGTAAATACGAATGTTCTATAGAACAAGGTAACGTGTGTCTTACGATAGACTGATCGCCATGTATACATTTCCGCGGTTCTACGTTCCGTATATACGTAACATTACGACCCGCGATCTCACAACATCGTTTCGGATTCTATACGTAGTCCTGCCACTGCAGCGTGAACGTGTAGAATCGCGTGTGTAATTCTGGTTCTTCGTGTCATGTAATTTAATATATCGGTTCACAGGCGTCGCGCAGAGGAATCCCAGGGCGCACGCAGTTGCAGACAAAACCGTCATTTTCGAAATTATCAATGTTCACAAAAAAAAAAAAAAAAAATCGATCTAACCGTCGGTTTTTATTTTATTTTCAAAGCATTCGTATGCTTTACCGCGCTACTAATCACTCGGCGCAGCCGCGCGGGCAACCCGTCTGTTACGTACAGAGCGGTCAGATCATAAACGTAACACTCGTTAACTCGGACAGTGTTTTTCGGAATTTTTCGAGAAATTTCCGAGCGGCTATCAAATTGCCGTTATTTTTTTTTTTTTTCTGTCCTTATCGTCCTTACTTTTGGACGTAAAACCGTTAACCTGTATCTACTTTTGATTTTCGAACAGCGACCCGTACCTAACCTATCGGATGAACTTTTAGTCAAAAAAACAAAAAAACGAAAAAATGTCCGCGCTCAACCGCTCAACTTCCCCGTCGACCGGATTTCATTTCACTATTAAGTTCGGACACTATTGATGGACGGCAAACAGTGGTGCGCTATAAACAAACGTCACTCGTTCCGCTACTGTTGCCCCGCGCTCGGGGGAAAACGGACGAATCGACGCGTACCGGTGACGCGACCGTACCCGTAGCCTTCCGTGTCCGGCGGCATCCGTCATGCGTTTTTCACCGTGTCGTTCGCGCGGTAACGTGTACGCATTTTCGTGTCAGTGCTCTCCGGCGATCGGCGGTGTCCGATAATGCTGGCCTTCAGTTTGTACGTTGTTGTTGTTGTTGACCACCCGAAATTGCGTTTTCGCGTCCGCAAGACGGCCGCCGGCTTGTAAATTTATCGACAATCCATTGAGATAACGAAAACACATCAACAGTGTGTTGTTGTGTTGACCACTGTCGACCGGACGATGAAAACGGGCCCGTTGGGTAGTTCGAAAACTCCCGTTTTCCCGAACGGCCGCTCCGACCTCGCGGCATTTTCTCCCGGCCGGCCGCTTCCGGCCTCTCCGGATGTCGGTCGCGCGTAATCCGTCCGTTCGTCTTTTTCCCGTTTTCGCATCCGGGCTTTCTTCCCGGCGATGATTTCCGCTGACGCGACGCACTCTTCGCACGCAGTTCTTTGAAAACCGTCCGCCGCACGTGTGGATTGCTATCGGCTGTTGCGAGCTTCGAAAACTATAAACCGCACTTTGTCTGTGTAACGCGCGCGATACGGTGTTCGCCAATCGCGCAGATTTCCGGACGCTGTCTGAGCACCCGTACCGTACCGTACATTAAAAAATCGCGCGGTTAAAAAAACAAAAAAAAAAAAACCGCGGTTTCACGCGCGGACACAAACTGTTCGATTTCTCGAAATCCCCCGCGGTACACGGGAATTCCGCCGATCGGCCGACCCGCGGGCGGTTATTATCGTTTCCGTTGTTTTTTCCGCGTATTATTATTGTAGATTTACAACGGGCGGACCGAATACCGTTCCGGCGGTCACGGGGTTTTGTCCGACGGTTCCACTGACGGCGTTTCGCTGACGGGCGTACCGTTCGCCGCGCGATACGCGTCTCTAGACGCGTACGACTCGTTGCACCGTGATAACCGAGCGTCGCGGGGAGTGAAAATTTACCGCGCCGCGTGCGCGCAACGGAGAGACGGTCGCCGGGCCAGACGGCCGGGCGGCGGCGCAGGAATCCGGGACCCGGTGCGGTACTTCGCGGCGCGCGCAACACACTTTTGTTACACAATGCGACCAGTCGCCGCGTAAGGTCTCGTTCTGTGCGGTCGGTCGCCGGGAGGAAGTGACCAAGGATTTCCACGGATGACTGGCCCACGTGCATGCGCGCGCGACGGGCGACGCGCGGGTGCCGGACGAACGGGGAAAATGTTACGGGGAAACGAAAAAACCAACGTAATAATTGCCGCCAACCCCCGCCGCCCGCGCGTTACGGATACGCCGCCGCACGCACGCGCGTAACACACAGCGACAATAGCCGCCGACGGTTATTACGTAGGCCGCCGTGCGCGGCGTTCGAAAACAAATCTGTTAGAAGTCACGGTTTCCGTGTGAACGGACGTTTTTTTTTTCTCTCTCTCTCTCTCTCTCTCGTTTTTCCCTGCCGCGGCGTCGCTTTTGTCGCTCGCCCGCCGATCGGCGATGACGTTATTATCGCGCGGTTCGGGGACGGGGCGTGTCGTGACGCGACGATAAGGAAAAAAAACTGTACGCGATAAATCGTCGCGTCCTCGGCGATCGATCGCTATAAACGCGTAAACGCGTGCGTGTGGTTATATACCGGGGGGGGGGAGGGTATGTTGCGTTCGGAATCGGTACTTCATCAGCGATTCATTCATCATCTCGGCTCTTCCGTATTTCTCATTCCCTGTGTGAGCCTCTAAACTTTTTAATCCGGACTTGACTGTGCCCGGATCTAAAAAAAATATATATCGGTTTATGGTCTGATTTAGTCTAAATACGATAAACCGTACAATGTAAACGCGTACAACGATTCTGGGTCGGGCTTGTGGTCGAGTTAGACAAATTCGTCGGACATTATAATATAGCCTGTCCGTGTAACCGCAAGAAAACCCAGAGATAAAAAATAAAGAGCCGATACAGAGTTGATGTGTGTGCCACTGTTGTAGGCGGGAAGTTCGGAAATTAGGATACGTACAGTTATTTGATTTACGTGTGTACGCAGTGATTAATAACTGCTGACGAAATACTAAATTCTAAACGAAGTTTTCGAAATGGCGTAATTTTTACGATTTCCGTCGGAATTCGAACTTGAAACGCTTGAACAAAAAAAAAAAAAATTCAAAAAATGTCAAGTGCTTATAAACATCTCAAAAACCGCACTCCCGTTATTTTTCGATCGGAGCGGGATTTCCGACAGTTGTGCGCAAACATAAAAAAAAAAAACAATAATAAAACCCTCGCCCCCCCCCCTTCAGAATCTAAAACGATTAAAATATATAAAATAGTCGCCGTCACAGACAACGAAAATAGGGGTGCTTATGTACACCGATTTCACCCTCAAAATGATTGTGTCTTTATTTTTACGTAACGTGTTGATTTCAATGTGTTGTTTTTTTTTTTTTTTTTTTTTATGTTTCTATACGCTTACACGTTTCACTAGAATAATCGCAGTGTTTAAACATTACATTCCGTACGCATAACAGTTGTATTGCTACGAGTGTTATGACTGTTACGGCTGCAGACGGTTCGGCGCTCGGGTTCAATGAAGATAAATTTAATCGGTACTCGTAAAATTGTATTGACATCAATGCGTGCGATTACGCGCGCTATCGCTTACCGTTCGAAAATCCGAATGATGCGACGAGTTGTCTCTCATTAGTCAATCAGTCCTTCTGTTGCCCGACTCCCGCACAATATTTATAATTTTGATGATTTTTTTTTTTGTTTTTTTCCTATAAAATATTCAACGCGTCCTTTCGCATCCTTTCGGCCGATTAACTCCGTAACCCTGACCCCATCATCCGCTCCTGATGGATACACAATTATGCATGGGGTTGGGCTGGCGAGACATATCCACCCATTGGAATTTTGCGGGGATAGTGTAATGAATGAGCCCAATGTCCGCGAGATTGTACTCGCCGATGTTCACCACGGCACTAAACACCGATTCGCTCCTCCGATGTCCACGCCGTTTGTAACCGAGACCGGGGAATATTCAGTCGAGCTAAAAATATTCAATTGATATTGAACTATAGGGTTTCATTGAAAATAAACAAGTCTAAAAAAGACAGATAAACTTCGCACGATGGGTACTGTTGTAGGCGAGAAGTTGGGAGGGAAGGATATAGAGGGGGATGATGTAGGGGATATGAGTAAACGACGATAAGCTAAAACCGTTTCTAACGAAAGGCGATTCGGAGCAAAATTTCTTTCATACCTGTACAAACGTGTTCCCGTTTTTCCTACATTTTTTTTCAATTATATTGAAAACCGCTTGGGAAATCAAAAAAACGACCTCTTCAAAACGCCGACTAGATAAAATTCTCTTTCAGAAAACGTGCCACACTCCAGACATCGGAGCAAGATTTTCGTATACGGTATTGAATACGAAAACCGAACACCATTGTAAAACCAATTCATTTCTCGTTCCACCCAGAATCCAAAACAAATCGGGCGATCCGTTACACGGGCGACCGCTAAGCTCTCGGTTTCTAAACGTACGCTGTAAAAAAACGGTATGGGCGTATTTACACAGAACGTGTGGCGACACACGCAATCGAACGCCGTGCGCGTAAGTTCCGGCGCGATATAACCGTTTTATTAAACGAATGTAAACAAGTAAACACAAGCACGAGTACAAGCACACGCGTATACTGCGAACGAATCGGTTTGTCTGCGCCTCTTTAAGCAAAGCTCCCGGGTTGAAGGCGGATAGTTTTTTTGTTTTCCAGAATTCACACACCGTACGCGTTTTACAACGCAAAGGAACGCGAACGGCGCGAATGAAGAATGAAGACAGGGTACCGAGTGGTTTTTCGGGTTAACGGTTCAGTACAACGGAAAACGACATGCCGCCGCTCGTACGAACGGTAACGTTCTTTTTTAAAGTTTCGACTAACGCATTTGATGCGCGCAGACGACCGGCGAAATTCGCCAAACTGTCATTGGCTTGCGAGTGCCGCCCGCGGGCAGCCGGTCATCGTGCCCGATGAATACGATCGGCGGAAAACTCGACCCCGCCCGACACAGCCGGACGGCTGAAGCGGCGAAAAGCGGAAAAAACGCGTTTCAAAACGTCGCGTTCGAATATCCGTACGGTTCGGCACGGCGGCGAACGCCGCGCTGCTATTGTGCCCGTCGCCGTTCCGACGCCGTTTCAGCGTGTTGTTTAATACCCCGAACGCGGGCGAAAAAATGTATTGGACGACACGCGCGGACGCTTTTAGTCCGCTTTAAAGGACTGCTCGCTGTTCGTTTTTTCGTTTTTTTTTTTTTTTTTTTTATTATCTCTCTCCCGTTCAAATGTACGGGCGAAGAAACGGGAGAACGAAAACGAGAAGAACGGCGAAACCGGCGGCGGACGCGGGAGACGGCGTTATTGACGGCAAAACGATAACGGACTCCGACGGTCGTGACGTGTCCGGGAAATTCGCACTGGAAAACGGCAAGCGCGTTTGGATTTGTTTTATTATTATTTTCTCGGGGAGAACGGACGGCGAAACAAAACGGTACCGTCACTTTTTTTGTTGTTTTTTTTCTGTATTCTGTTTTCGAGTAAAACCGACGTTCGGTTACCGACGCGACCGTCAACGGTGTCGGCATAATGCGTACCTGGTATTTTTGGTACAATATCATATTGTTGTACAGCGTTTCCAATTCCGAGTCGTTTGATCGATCCACTAATATTTAATAACGCACATTGTAATGCACAATAGAAAAACCGCGCACGACGTTTCTGTTAATTGTTATCGTATGAAATACATTAATTTGGTGTATTGTCCTGTGTATAATGTTCATATTGCCTATACACCGTGTACGTGTATATAAAAAAAAAAAAAAAAACAATGCGCCTAATAATACAACAATATTCGTGTATTAATATCGTTAATGTTACCCGGGTTATTAAGCCGGACGAAACGACGACAACAATGATTATATAAGAGATTTTTTTTTTTTGTTTTTTGTTGTTTTTACTACAAATATACAGTAAAGTCGAGTAAATGAGAAAAAAAAAAAAAAAAAAATTAATAATAATACTAATTTAAGCGTCGCAATGATGTAGGTACACTTATTATTATTTACCTATATAAAACGTCTCGTTTCGGTTCGGAAATTCAGTCATTGTAACAACGTTCGGTTTTTTTTTTTTTTTTTTCAATATACATAATAACTAATAAGTATTATCGCGCGCCGGTAATACGTAGGCATGTATTATATGGGTGGTAATAAAGGAGTGACTTTTTTTTTTTTTTTTTTTTTTTTTTGTTACATCCCGAAAGCTATAAAAACGAAAAAAAACCGTACCGTACCTATTACGAAAAACCGAGAGCCATTATTACGTATTATATTATAGAATTTTAACGATCGTGTGTACGATATGTGTACATTTATAACAGTGTTGTTCGTATATAATAGTTTTTCGCTTTTAGGGAGTAGAAATGATAATAATATTTCGAAAAACGACCCGTCCCGTAGCGTATTGTTATTACAAAATTGTACACGAATATTCGGGTCTCGTAAAAAAATCAAAAACCGAAATGAAATGTCGGACGCGAAAAAAAAAAAACAAAACGAAACGGACGGTAGGTGTACTATGCAGCCATAGCTATAGTACAGACACGGGTCTGCGGCGGCGGTCCGTTATCGCGGCCGTTTTATTCTAAGTTTTTTTTTTTTTTTTTCTGAATATTCGTACACGAATAGTGCACTCACTGCACGTGCCGCGCGATTTTATAGCCGTTTTGTACGGAGGAGATTTTTAGGTTTAGAAAAAAAAATAAAACCCCGCCGATAATGCATGTTAACGATAAATGTCGGTCGCGCGTCGAGTCACGGAAAAATAAAAAAAAAAAATAAAAAAAAAAACTCCGTAATAATTTCGGGAGTTACGGCCGTCGCCGGTCGTTTTTACATAGGCGTTAATGTCCGGACGCGTACAGGTGTACTCGACGGCGGTATTATATTCCGTTTGTGTTTTTTTTTTTTTCTACCGGTCAAAACGTAGAAAAAAAAACACCCCGCGTGCGAGCGACTGCATTTAACCGACCGCGATTGATTGCACATTATTACGCGCGAGCGCAACGTTTTTTTTTTAATTTTTTTTTTTTAATAGTTATTACGAAAATTGTGTCAAAATCCTCCGCATAATATATAGGTGTGTTATTATAACGATATTGTTACAAATACACGACGCGCGTTTCAAGGTTAACGGAGGACGCGCGTCGTTGTAAAATGTCCGAAAACGTCCGTGAACAATAACGTAAAATATTATATAACAGCGATTATTCGTGTTTTCTCGCGTGGAGTTGTTTTTTTTTTCGATATTATTATTATTATTATTTTTTTTTTCCATCGTTATTATTATTCTAAATAACGCGACGGGCGCGCGTATCGCGATGCACCGGTGGACGGCGATAAAAGTCGCGGCGAAAAAAAACGTGTAAAAAAAAGAAAGAAAAAAAAGGACGGACGTGCTCCGCGCGCGGGCGCGGCCGCTGTTGCGGGTGGGAAGTCGGGAGGATGGGCCGCCGGACGGCAATTCGATTTGTATATCTCTGTGAGCGACGGCGAACCGCCGCTAACGAAAAAAAAAACGATTCTGAACGGAGTACGGTTGATAGTGTTGCTCTGTCAACAACGCGTAATGCGTCGCCACGCGCGTGGTAAAACGATTATAACCGTGTGCGTTTCCGACAACGACCGTTGAAAAAAAAGATTATTTTAAAATAACAAAAGCTTTGATAATAACGAAAAAATAAACGACAGCCGACGACAACATTATTTTTTTTAATCTTTCTAAACCTACTAAAGACCTCGGGTTTTCCTGATCGTCTCGAATGTCGACGAGAATTTCAAAAAAATTCCCTCTCTAAAGCATCACCCGGAGAAAATTCCCATCCGGACCATCCGGCGCTACGCACGATCACCGGAGTACGCTTTCCGGTAGAAAGTGTTGACACGAAAAAAAAAAAAAAAAGAAAATAATAATTGTAACACCCGTTGTGGCGAGACCAATACGTTCCCTCGTTCCACACGGTAATCCGAAAACAATGCGAAACGGACGATTCGTTTGCGCGTGTATTGCGGCGCGCGCGTTATAACGATAAACGTGTCGTTGGGATTCGCATTGGACGTCGCAAAAAAAAAGACCGGGGGGGGGGGCGACGGGGACGGGGACGGAAAAAACAAAAACTCGTGACGTCTACCGCGTTCCGGTGTTCGCCACGCGGTGTCGCTTTCGGTGTTTATTATTATCGCGATGTCATTTCGCCGCCGTCAAACGGTCGAACGTTCTCTCGGCGGCGCGCGTTGTCGTTATTGTTGCGCGCGCCTGCGGTACGGACGCGAAAGACCTGTGCGCGCCGGCACCGACCCGCGGAACAGCGCAACACATTGCTTATGGAAACGTCGTAAACGGATACCGGAATAACAGTGTGCGGCACGACAAGAAGAACAACAGCGGGGGAGGGGGGGGGGGGGGGGGAGAAAAAAATAAAAAAAAAATAAAGCGTCGATAAATCCGTCGTGTCCGTTGTACGGCCGCGGCGAGAGAACTTTATAAACCGACGGTTCACTCGTCGCGGCGGCGGAACGGCCGGGGTCGCGCGTTTTTCGACCGTAAAACGTCACGATCCGCGGATGTCGGGACGTTATGCGGGTGGTTTGCCCGCGCGCCTGAAGTGAACGAAACCTGCGTGCGCGCGTATCGCGGCAACGGTTACGGCCGCATCCGAATCGGTTCCCGTGCTCGAGAATCGAATCGACATCCGAATTTCGGTTCCCGGTAAACACTTTCGAAAAAGGCGGAGTACAATCGAACAATTATCATCACGACATATTTCCCGTCTGTACGGACGTATAAAATGAAACAGGTTGTCGTTTGGATAAAAACCGTGATAAAACCGGCGCTACATTATCGTTATTCAGTAATCCGCCGTAGTAACCGCATAGCGTATGGTATAGTGATTTCGTGTAGTTTAGTGTTTTTTTTTTTAACTCGTGTTCGGATATGGAATTCATGTGCGGCAAAAAAAATTAAAAACTTATGGTATGCGATGGATATAAATTTGGGTTTCAAAAAAAAGTCGGCGGACGACATTAACCGTTGGATATGTGCACAAAGAACGCGTAAGTCATATTTGAAAATGAATAATTCAAATATAATCGTTGATAAAAGTATAATACATAACCATGAAAAAGACGATGAAAAAAAACTTAACAGACAGAAATCAAGCAACGTTTCAAAACGAAAAGCTCGAGAAGCATTACATGAGCGGCCGGTAAAAATTATGCGCTGTGAGTTGGCCAAATCTGATACTGAAACCATAGACGCTCAAGATTTATGTAGAATAAGAAAAAATATACGTGCTAGTCGGTGTAGCACAGTACCAAAGTTGCACAAAACATCGAGCGAGATTCGTAATATATTAAACAATTATAGTTTAATAACTAATCGGGGAGAAAACTTTTTATTTATTAACAGTGTTGAAACCAATATTATTGTATTTTCACGTGATAGCAATTCGGAAGTATTACGTCAAATGATATCCGTGTTTGTTGACGGTACTTTTAAAAGTTGTCCAAAGCTTTTTTGCCGACTCTTTTCAATTCACGGTGTAAAAAATAACTACTACGTCCCTCTGGTTTTCATTTTACTTCCAAATAAAACAAGTGATACGTAAACAAAAGCTTTCAGTTTAATTACAAATTATTTAAACCCGGATAAAATACGAGGGCTAATCAAAACGTATCAAGACTGGTAGTATCATTCGGAAAATGAGCATCGAAGAGCAGCAGGATTGGTATCAATTGCTTCTATGACTTTTTTCTGAGTACATTTGTTTTTATTGCTTCTCTATAAAATTCTTCGGTTTGATTTCACTGATATTTTTGTAAAATATATTTTTCGAGTTTGACGATTTTATAATAAACCCAAAAGAAGAGTAACTTGACAGATTTGGAGATTTTAGAAAATTTGCATTTTTTTTTCAGAGGGATGCAACATTTCATGGTTTTTGCCATTAAATGTCAATTGAAAAACTGAAAATGTGCCCTCGAGTGGCAGCGAGTTCCGCTTCTTTTGGATTCATTACGAAATCGCCAAACGTAAAAAACAAATTTTAGAAAAATATCGTCAAATCAAAACGAAGAAGTTTATAGAGATTTTATACGAATAAATGTGCTCAGTATGAGTCATAGAAGCTACGTTTACGAATCGTCGTGCTCTTCAACGCTCGGTTTCCGAGTAAAATTATCGGTCTCGATACTTTTTGATCAGCCCTCGTATATGCTGACTTTGAAAGAGCCATTCATGTAGCGATCTCCGAAGTATGGCCTTTAGTTCAATTAAAAGGTTGTCGGTTTCACTTGGGCCAATCATGGTGGAGAGAGATTCAACAATTAGGGCTTTCAAAAGAATTTAAAAATAACGACTCCGAAATAGGACGAACATTAAAATTATTTTTTGACTTATCTCTATTATCGCTCGAAGAAGTTAACGATTGCTATATTAATGAGTTGATGCCGTTAAAACCGACTAACGGAAAGCTTGACAAATTATTCGATTACATACTAGAAAATTATATTTCAGAAAAGAGCTCATTTCTACCAACAATGTGGGCTGAATATACGAGTAGTGTAGTACGAACAACTAATTGCTGTGAATCATTTCACAGCAAGTTCAACAGTTGTTTCTATTACACACATCCGAACATTTTTCAATTCATCGATGTATTAAAAAAAGTACAAATTGAAACATATGTAAAATTACGGAGAAACCACAAAATCTTAAATCTAAAAATAAGGAAATATATATGAAAACAGAAATGGGCAAATATAAAAATAATAAAATAAATAGATCAGAGTTTATAAAAAATGTTTGTTATGAATTTATAGTTAAAAATATATTTAATTTAAAAAAAAAATTATTATTATTCTTATTACTTATTATATAACATAACAAAAAATTATAAAAATAAAAGTGGCAAAAAAAATCATAATTTTTAACCATACCTGCATAATATTATGTGGACAGTCCTAAGTCTGTATAAAATGGGAAGGAAAATTGAAAATTTGACCCGGGAACCAATTCGGATACACCCTTTGTAACGAACCGGGAACCAATTCGGACGTTTCGGAAACAATTCGGATACACTGATGGTTATATCCGTAACATCAATTGCGATAAGTTTTTTTTTTTTTTTTTTTATTTTTAAAAAGTAATACACAATCTGTAGATTCAATTTTTTACAATAAGCGTATGGACAATAAGTTATTTAATTAGCGTGAATTGACCGATAAAAGAAGCCACCCAGCGGTGACACTTATAAGTTATTTAATTAGCGTGAATTGACCGATAAAAGAAGCCACCCAGCGGTGACACTTAATAAAAGAAGCCACCCAGCGGTGACACTTAATAGCTATTTAATTAGCGTGAATTGACCGATAAAAGAAGCCACCCAGCGGTGACACTTAATAGCTTGACGTGACACTTAATAGCNGGATTTCCGGGAATAGTATTTGAGTTGAGTTTTCTTATAAGAGGATTTGGGTGGTTGACTAGGCGGGATCGGAATCGTTTGTAAAAGAGAGATGCAGTTTTGGATACGGTGTTGATGTGAAGATCAGAGTGTAATGTGTGATTAGAGACATAATAGGATGCGCCCGTTATTAGGCGGAGCGAGGTAGACTGGAATGCTTGGATTTTTTTAATGTTAGATGGCTTGGCTGTTCCCCATACTTGTATACCGTAAGACCAGATAGGAGTTAATAACATTTTGTACAGGTTTAATTTATTTTTTAGATTAATTTTTGAATTTCTATTTAATAAAAAATAGAGGTTTCTGCGTCTTTGGTTGAGTAATAGTCTCTTAAAATAGTCCGAGGGCACGATGGCTCGGGTCTCTAGGTACATCCAAAATGCATGTGTTCTTTCCTTGTTTAGGTAAATGAGAGAAATAAACGCAAACAAAGTTTTTTTCGACACAACGATTATTTTCGTAAATTTCTCGTTCGATCCGCTCTCTAGGAAATTTTTATAATCACAACCCACCGCTCTCCAGAAAAAAAAATCCCGCGTGTGCGCCTATCAACTAATTATTGACGTTATGAACATGATATTTCGTTATCGGTCGTTTTATTTTTTACTATACCTACGCGTAGCTATTATGTGTCCGTTGTATATTTGACCGATCGGCGTATCGTCGGATCGTCGACGCTCCAGATCGATTGTCAACCATCTCTTTCCTGGTTCCTACCTATGCACTCCACCTGCAGGACCCATTCCCTGTTCCACTTGCTCGACTCTGCACCTCTTATGGGTTTCAATAATTCCCTCTGCTAAACGCTGTTCAGTCCGGTCTCTTTCCGCCTCTCGCCTTAGATTTATGTTACCCCGCTGTTGTCACCCCATCCGTCTATAGTTCTAGTCGACTTTAAAATCGTCGCGTACGAAATTTCCCGTTTTTGATGTTTAAAATGTTAACGAATAATCACACGGAGTTCTGAATGACCGCGGCTATTTCGATTCAATTCGATTCGTACAATAAATAATACAGAGAGAGGATATTATTGTCGACGACCTAAAAAAAAGAAATGACCGAAATCGACCGATCAAACATTTTCCCGAGCGAATCTGGCACGCAGCCACGCTCGCGGTTTCGAAACGCGCTGCGGCGTATCCCGACCGCGTCGATAACGAATACGATATGCATATTAATTACCCTAAAAAAAAAAAAATAATAATAATAATAATACTTCGAAAACATCGAATATTTGTATTATGTAGGTAGCGATGATTATTTTATTTTCGTGTCGTGAAAAAAAAAAACGAATATTACGCTGTTATGTGGGTATACCTCGGCCTATTAAATAACGTCGAGACACAAATAAAATACATACGTGTCCAAGGTAAAAGATAATACCGCGTCGTATTATATTCAAAACTATATACAGGGCGATCGACGTATAGCGTAAAACACTCGTTATCTCGGGAAGTGTCGACTCCGTTCGAAATTCGTTTTCTAAATCATTCAACGAAATATACGAGTACAGCTCTGAAAATGTAATACGTTTCGCGGTTGTTTTTTCGTTTCGGTGAAACCGTTACCTGTTCATCGCGGCAATACCTATGCACAATGAAAAGTACTGCTCGGTTAATATTATTGAATGTCGGCGTTGAAATTTCCGATTTCGGTCGACCAGTTGACGCGAAATTCCATTTTTTTTTTTTTTCAAATTTAGTTGGACGGTGAGTGGCGGAACGCTGTCAAAACGCCGCCACACGAACGATGCACCGCGCACCGCTACTGTGCCCCCGCCGAAACTTAAAAGTGAACGGACGAGTCGAATTAAAATATGTCGACGCCGAAAATCGATTTAAACTAATACTCGGTGTACGGGTCGAAAGTATGATTGAGAGATCCGAGGTCCGAGGTGATGATTTCGCGGACGACAATAAGGGCGAAAAAAAAAACTGTCCTAGGATAATGGGGACGGGTGCAACCGATGTTGTAGGCGGGACGTTGGGAAGGTAGGATATAGACACGAATTTAATGTACATCTGTACGCAACGATAAACCATTGCTAACGAAAAAGCGATTCTGAGCGGAGTTCGATTGATAATGTTGCTTTGTCAACAAGATATATGTCATATTATGGTTAAATAATTACATATGCATTATGACATTTTATTTAATTATATTTGTTTAATATTGTACCTGTTTTCCTATTTTTCCTACGTTTTTACCGGTTTTTTTTTTTTTATATTTATTGAGAAAACTCCCGGGAAAATCATAAAATGATCTCCATAAAGTATCACCCCAGTGAGATTTCCTTTTAGGAAAAATGCTTTCGTTGAAAACCGGAGCGAAATTTCTAGTAGAAAAGCTGTCCATAGAAGAGAAAAAAAAAAGAAAGAAAAAACAACGTCATTGTAAAACCAATACATTCCTCGCACCGGTCAAAATCGCATAGAGTTGAACATTTTCGAGTGTAGTGAACCGCGCTAAATGGTACGACTCAAAACTATATGTTTACGAATAGTCGCCTGTGACCGACAGCGTACTCATCAGTATGGACGCAGTTGTAGTGAAAAAAAAAAATAATAATATTTTGACGTCAATAACTAAACACTTAACATTAACGAGTTTAAATTTAATTCATTAACTGCGGCTTAGCGGCTCGGCGTTTCGCGCAAACGTAAGGAGCGGTACCGACGTTCTGCGGTCCGTAAATCCGGCCGAAACCAATGACTGTAAAAATTGCGGAGACCCGCGCCGTTATTATGCATGCCAAATCCAACGGGACCGCGGCCTCGCGAAAACGGAGAAATCGTATATACAATTGAGTTTTAATTTGCATCAATGCCGGATAAACGTATCGACGAACCGACGTTGCGAACGGTCCATTTCGCAGTGACCCGATCAATTTTGCTGCCCGGGGGGCGGCTTTTCGCAGGCGAAAGACGTTTTGAAATCGGTCGAGTAGCGTTTGAACCCGTCCATTACGAACGTATACAAACGAAAACTACGTTCTAAAAAAAAACTTTTCTCTTCGTAATATTAGTGTTGTGATATTATTTTTAAGATTTCGGCAGAGAAGTATTTATAGTATTGTCGCCGTTAGGCATAATTAAGAAAACTCGCACTATCTGGCATGTATTTTGGCGACGGGTAAAAGATCAAATCGTCGCATGTTTGCGGGCACCCGAAAAATAAAAGTCGATCGCCTCGGAACGATGGCGCCTCACCGCCCCTTTTCCTAAGTACGGAAGTAAAGTCAGTAAACGAGTAATAAATAAATAAATGGGCTACAGGTGAAAATTCGTTGAATAATATTCTGATTTTGGGCACCCCGTGAAAATTGGGCTGGAACGATAATAATCGCCGTCAAATACGCTCGTGAAATAAAAAGCACACGGGGAGCGGGCATTGTGAACTGTCAAGAGGCATTTTTTGTTCACAGACCTTAGACCATGCAACCAATTCGGGTTGCATTAAATATATTGAAATTTTAAAAATTTAGGATTCCATTCCACGTCGGGTGTAGGACTGCAAACAAAAATCAAACGTGGGACGATCATCTCCGACGTAGGACGGCCTATACGGTCTCGTTATAACGCGCGCAGCGTCTCACGGGAACAGGCACGCGGAAATCACGTGGGAAAATTTTAGAAGTGGGCCGATACTTGGCGTAAGTCGTTGTTTTCTTTCGATATTCGACCCGATATTTTCGTGGCGAAAAATGTCTATTGTGTGAGAAAAATAAGCATTAACAAATAGCGCGTGATATCAATATTAACTTTTTCACGGGGTTTTCGATTTCAAACGTCGCGTATCGGTACTGCATACCAGGGGCGGCCAACTTTAAGAGACTTGTAATCGACCCCTCCGGTCGCGACCTCCGGAGTTTTTCTAGGCTATCGCGATTGCCCGCGAACAAAAGCGTAATAAGTATGTTTCATATATACTTTTCTTTTCTTTAAAATACTAATAAGTAATAATAACGTTGAATTGAACGGTTTTACGCGACACGAATGTCAATATATCATTTGATTAGGAATTATTACTTTTACTTATTACCATTCGACAGGAAATGTTTATTTATTTATTCAACGAGAAGTTTGCGTTTGATTTGATAATTTTACGGTGTATGACGATAACGATAATATCTGGCCAACTTCACAATGCATATCGGTCAAAAGCCGTCGGCGTATAATTCCGTAGTAGTTATTAATCGTTATTGATCTAATTTTCAAACTCGCGGGTTAAACGAAAATAGACAAATTTGCAAAAAAAAAAAAAATCTTTTATTTTTACTTTCATGAAAAAAATTCAAGAAAAGAGAGCCGCGATCGACCGGAACTCGTGTCGCGATCGACCTGTCGGCCCGCCCCTGCCGTGTATAATATCCAGTGGCGTACCGATAGGGTGGCATAACGGACAAAGAATCACGGGCCCGTGAAATTTAGAGGCTCCAAATCCTGGCCCGAGGATTTTTTAGACAGGTAAATGTAATACATAAATTATATTATTATTGTTCATTTGTTACCGGATCACCACCCGTGTTCAAATAAAATATATTACAAAAGAAATATAATTTAATTTCTTAATATATTTCTATATATGTCTAATATTTTTTAATAATAATCTCTCCTATTAAAATAAATTATTTCTATATGTAAAATGGACCAATTCGTATAATTTTTTTCTCTATGTATTCCTTTATTTATTTTTGATTCCGAATGGAGCGAATAAACTCGCGGTTTTATAAAGTTGTTTATTATTCTTTTTTTTTTTTATTTTTCTTTTCTGTGGACAAATTTTCTACCAAACCTTGTTGATATTTTCACGTGTAGCACGTTTTCTGAAAGGAAATCAGTGTGAGTAGGTACTGCAAACGGGACGTTTTTCGATTTTATCAAGAGCTTTCTCATCAAATGCAAAAGACCAAAGAAAAAACCGGGAAAATTTACGAAATATAATAAATATAATATTACGATGATTTTTTTTTTCTGTAGATAACTTTTCTGCCGGCGATTTCGCTTCAACTTTTTACGGTAGAAATGTTTTTGAAAGGAAATTTCACTGGGGAGGTTCTTTAAACAGGTCGTTTTTCTATTTACCCAGGAGTTTTCGCAGCAAATGTGAAAAACTGAGAAAACCGGGAAAATCGGTACAACGTCAAACAAATATTATTAAAGAAAATATATAAAGCCAATTTAATTATTTCACTGTAATATGACATAGTATATTGTTGACAAAGCACCACTATCAATTGAACTCCTCCCGGAATCGTTTTTTCGTAAGCAGTGGTTCATATCGTTGCTTACAGGTATACATTAAATTACCTATATCAATGGCTGCACCCGTCCCTATTACCGTAGGACGTCTTTTAAATTTTGTATTTTTTTTTTTTTTGGTTATAATTCAGTTAAAAATATTCGTAGAAACTTGAAATTTGGACTGGAAATGTATGTTTGACTTTCCTAAAGGTGGTAAAATGTTCATAATATTTGAAACATTTTTGAGTTATTTATTATATGACATTTTAATTTCGCGAGATTTTTATGTAATTTTTATTCGGTAGGTACTCTGTGGATAAAATTGACCAAACAGAAATGCTTGAAAATGTAACAGGAGGTTCGTTATAAGTTGTACTTAGTGGTCAATAAGAAAAAGTACTATTTAGTATAGAATATAATTTTTTTTATAAGAAATTCAATATCAAATTTTCACGAAAATTGTAAATATTACGGCGTTTTTTCATATGAAATCGCTTTTTACTTTTTTACTTTGTGTTCTACTTGATGATGAATTTTTAATTCGAAACCGGCCGTACAACACACGTGTCTTAATACTCCGAGCGACGCATTCATTTATTTCTACATATAAATAATTATTTATTTATATATTTAAAATAAAATTATAGGAATCAGAATCTGCGAATCTTTTGAGACGATGATTTCCCCTCCCCTCCCCCATTCGGTCTTCAATTCGATTAGTCTACAATAGTTTGCCACTGGCGTTAGAAGTTCTAATTGCACTTCTGCAGATAATATCGGAACATCGGACGTCGGAAAAAAGCCCGTAGAAAAAATTACAAATAAACGCCACAAAAACGCGTGTGTATACAGTGTGTACTAAAAATGACTGGCCAACTCTACGGCTTGTTACTATATACGTAACAAACATTGAAGTATTGAATGTATTGAAGTTAACGGAGGACAACAGGGTTGAACAGTTACTGTAACTAATTTGTTTGTTGTCGAATACTAATTAATAATAAAACAAATTCAATAAAAACAACTGAATTTATGTATTTTTTTATGTTTTTACAGCCAAGGTTATCGTATTTTTTTGATAGAATCATAAAATTGACGCTTAAACAAAAAATTATTTATTCCATTGAAACCCCCTGATAAATTTACATAAAAATTCACGTATCACACCAAAATCACAGTTTTGGACATGAAAAGCCAAAAATAGCGGTGATAATGGTTATTTTTGGAAAACATCGAGTGACCCTTTATTTTGTATGAGAATTTCGCAAGAAGTTCTCTGGTATGGTTTATTTTTATTTTATACGGGCAGTTTACAAATAAAACATGTAAAATCATAATTTTGATTAAAAAAAAAAATAATATTCCACAAAAACCTTATTTTATTGCTACATATAGAGTAACAAACCGTAGAGTTGGCCGGTCTTTTCTGGTACACCCTGTATGCATACGATAACAATAGTAATAATAATAACGATAATAATATCCGTGATGTATATTCCGTCGAAATTACGCCGACGATTTCGTTTGCGCGCGTGTAATTAACTCGGTTGAAAAAAAAACAGTGGAAAAATATTTGGGAAAAAAAAAATACGTTTATCACATACCTTTAAAGGAAAAATATTCTACTAGTTTGGATACGGGTTTTTTTTTTTTTTTTACATAAATATGCGTTTTTTGTTTTATATCGGATTTTGGTTTGATGTGTTTTTGTATTCGAAAATAAAAAATCTCTCGCGGCGGTGACGTCACACGAAAATACCTCCAAGACCGTGCGAGTGGTACGGCTTCATTTTTTTTCCTTCTAAATTCTGAACGTATATAATTTTTCTCTTTTCATACTCCGGCCAGTATTTAAACATTTTTTGTTTTTGTGCGTGTGTGTGCGTGTGCGTATACGACAATAACGCAAACATTTGGCGGGATGAAAAGAAGGTCAGTAATAAAATAAAAAAAAAAAAAAAAAACATGTTTCTTATTTATACAATAACAACGAACAAAAAAATCGATTTTAATATTTACATACTAGATCTGGGACAACTCGCGGGGAACAGCAGTTTGAAAAAATAGTCGCAGGGAATAAACGATTGCGTTGTCGTCTTCTTGTTCTTTCCCGTTCTGTTTGAAACGGGGGGGAAAAAAACCGGGTACAGTCATCCGAAACGGAGGGGAAACAAAAAAAAAAAAAAAAAAACCACGGCGAGATGTGCCCGGGCGTGTGTGTGGTTTCATTTTCCTCGGCGATATACGCGATGGGTTTCCACGACTGGTCCATTGTCCGCGTGTTATTTTGGCCGCGCGCGTAATTTCGCTAATTAGTTCGCCGTGTATGAAATGCCGAAATTCACCTACGACCACGAATCGCGGAAAACGCCGAAATACCGTCGGGTATCAAAAATCCGATAGAAAACAAATACCACACAAGTAATACTGTGCGCATGCAACACGCGTATTAATTATGATAAACTTACTAATTGTCGGCACGCGCAAAACACAACGCATCCCGTAGTAGAAATCCGACGGCGTAACCGCGCGCGGTAAAAATTATGGTTTTCGGCGTGAATACAACCGAAGGGAAGTGTATGGACACCCAAAACACCACTCCTCCACCCGCCGCCACCGCGCCGCCCAGTTCGCTACGACGCTGACCGGACCGTACAGGGCGTGACCGGACTGTTTAACATTTATTACATGCAACTACAGTGTAAAAATGTCTAAGAGTCCGGTTACACCCTGTATAGCCGAATAACTCGGCGTCTCCCGGGTTCGTTTTTATCCCCGGTCACAGTAAACGCAGACGCGTAACTAGGACGTCCGATGCTTGAGGCAAAATATTCCAGATTACCCGAATCCGGGGGGTCCGGTGCGCGATCCGACTGGGGAGGGGGGACCCACAATTTACACAGTTCGGAGCATGAAAACGAAAAACCTATACATACGTGTGTGTGTGTGTGTGTGTGTGTGTGTGCCCGTCCGCTCGTGTTACTTAACGAGCGAAACAGTGGTGGTCGTCCGTTTTTTATTCACCTGTCGGTGAACGCTGCAAAATCGAATTTCGAGGCACCTAAATGACGCAGGCCCGGGGCTCCCCGGCGCCCGTCACGCCGCCCTATTGGTACGCCACTGAGTGAACGGTTGTTGTTTATCGTTTAAAAAAAAGAATCGACGGCTTGAACAATAAATAGCGACCGTTTTTTTTTCTGCATTTTTCGTCCGTACCGCGGAATAAACGCCCCGCGGAGATCCGTCCGGAAGCCCGACGCGAAATACTCCAGGCCGCGATTTCTCGACGATCCGTCCCGCCCGGTCCGGTCGGCCGGACGAAACCGCGGCTCGTTATTAGCGATCATTTTCGGCCCCTTTTTTTTTTTTTTCCCGCCCCGTCCCAAAACCTTTGCACGAATACACGCCCGCGCGTTCGTCGTGACGGAGACGATAATATTATTATTATCGTCGTCCGTCGTGCCGCGACGCGTCGGGACCCGGCCGTCTGCAGCGCGCACGACAACAATAATAATATACACACGCGGCCGCGGCGGCGGCGGCGACCGAGCACATGGCTCGGGGATTTTTATTATTATTATTATACGTTTTTTTTTTTTTCTCCGTCTCTTCTATCCTACATACTATTATTTATTTATTTTTATTTTTTTTTTCACGATTATCGCGCGGGCCCGCGCTCCCCGCGCGCCCGAGCGTGTGCGTGTGTGTGTGCGTGTGTGCTCGTGTGTGTGCGTGTGTGCGTGCTCGTGTGTGTGCGTGCCGGCGCGCGCGCCCGCGCGTAGGTATCGTAGTAAAACCGAACGCGCGCACTCGCAGGCCCGCGACGAAACGCGGCAGCCGGAGCGCCGCGGCGCGGCGGAAAAACGCACCGGTCGAAAAACGCGCGAGCGTCGGACCGGGCGCGCGCGGGGTTCGGCGCACAACGGTGGACCGGCAGCGCCGCGCCGCGGCCGCGCCGCGAACCACGCAACGGTCGTTGTGCACGCTCGGGCGGCGTCGCCGTCGTCGCCGGCGGACCCGTGGAACGGGGTCGGGGGACGGTGCCGCCGCGCGCGTCCCGCTCCCCGGCGCACCACCGCGCGCGCGGATGACGTGACCATCGCGGCCGCCCCACCCGCCCGCCGCCCGGCCCGGCGTACGTGACCTCGGCGGTGACGCTCGTTCCCGGACCCGATTTCATTCTCTCGCCGTTCGCCGTACGCGCTGCTACCGTGTTTGTCTCGTCGCGACTCCGCAGCCGCCGTCACCGCCGTCGTCGTCGTCGTCCATTTTGTGCGCGTTTTTATCCGTGTGCGCCGATACGATAATATTATTATTATTATCCGCCGCCGCAGTGTTTTGTTTACGCGCGACGTTCACGACCCCGTCGCCGACGACCGCCACCGCGAACGAAAAACCCCCCCGTGTTTTTCCGAGATATTTTTACTATTTTTTTTTTTTTCTCGCGCACGTCCGTAAGTGTCGCGCGCGCGCCCTCCTCACGCACCGCCGCGTATTTTCACCCCCCCGAAGCGATTTCGTACGGATCCGTTTCGGAACGTCGAGCACCGAGCCGCGTCCGGATCGACAGCCGGACATACGCGAATACCGTGTTCCCGCCGGGATTCCAGTGGCAGAAGAAACGGCAGCAGCTTCACCGGCGCAATACTACTCGCCGGTTTCGCGTTTCACACCGTCCGTGTGAACGTAATATTTACCGATATTTTTCAAACGTCGCCCCCGAACCCCGTCATCATGACCGTTACGTTTGGCGTGACGGTTACGGGCGTTTCGACCGACGGCGGCGGATCCGCCGCGGTCAACAGCAGCGGAAGGCGCGTACTCGCCGCCAAAACCGATTCGGTGAGCAACGTCAACAACAACAACAACAACAACAACAACAACAACATCAACAACAACAACAACAACGTGCACAACAACAACAACAACAACGGACCGACCGGCACGCCGTCGATTACCGGCAAGGCGTCCGTGTTGAGCGTCCGACGCGTGCTGTTCGGACCGCCGGCCGATCCCGCGGAAACGCGGGCGTGGCTGGACCGGCAACTTTGCGCGGCCGCGGCGTCCGATTCGCGAGCGTGGAACTTCGATTTCGTCAACGAGCGTCCGTTGCGCGACAGCCCGGCCGACCGGTACTTGTGGGAGCGCGTCTGTCTGCCGCCGACGCCCGCACCGCCCGCCCAACAGCAACAGCCGCAACGGTACGAACAGCAGCAGGCCGATCAACTGGTCTGCGGCGTCCAGAGGCAACGGCAGTCCAAAGTCACAGGTAAAAATACATCGTCTTTTTCCCCGGCAAGCGCGGGATCCGTTTTATTTTTTTATTGCGACCGTGCGCGGGTGGACCGCGACCGGTAAATTTGTCGACGGAAAGGGAGACGTTTTTCACTCGGTTCGGCGCCGTATGTGCGTGCGAAGTTCGGCGGCTCTCTCCCCCTCATGTGCGAACGCACGGTCGGGGCACCTGCGCGGCGGTCGGATCGGACGACGAGAGGGTGCAGTGAACCCTCGCTCGCTCGCTCGCCGCCGCCGCCGCCCTCGGGCAAATGGGGTCGTGCGAACGCTGTGGGAAAAACGGCGCGGCGTTATGGGAACGGGGGTTCGTCGCGCCGCTCGTTTTTCACGGGCGAATTTTTTTCCTTTTTTTTTTTCTCGTCGTTCCGCCGCCGTATTGTTTCACGCGTCGCCGTTTTCCGATCTGTAGGCGAGGGGAAAGACGCGGTTTTTTTTTATTTCCCCCCGCCGATCGAGAATGGAAAAGAAAATATTTTTTTTTTTTTTGTTAATATAAAAACCCGGGTGGAAAAACGAGGATAAACGGAGTAAAGTGCGCAAAAACCGTTCGGATGCGCCGCGCGCGCGGCGAATAAAAATGTTTAATGCGCGGTAAATAACATCGGGACGACGACGACGACGATTGTGAAATGGCGCGAAAACGTTTTCGGCGCGGCGCGAGACCTTGAAATCCATCGTATTGTACGTATTTTTCGATATTCCTCTCCCCCACCCCCCGGATATTACGAACCGCGCGCGTAATAATTTTGTTGTTTTTTTTTTTTTTTTCTAGGTTATGTAAATTCGTTATTATTATTTTCGATATATTTGTAATATAATAATCGCGCGAACGTTCGATTATATTATTATTATTATTATTATTGTTGTTGTGCGGCGAGTACGGCGAGGACATAATATTATTATTATTATTATTTTTTTTTTTTTTTTCCTTGCTTCTCCTCTCGGCCCGACAGAGGAGTGTCACTATACAATAATAATATTAT